TCTCTGTCTGATTTTGATTTGGTACGGTATCAAGTATCTGTTTATAAAAGGAAATATGACAGTACAAAGCGTACAAAGTAAGTTGCAAAAGAGATTAACAGCCAAGGTGAGTTTGCTTTAAATGAAGTCCTAGCAACACAGGCATCATAGATCCCATTAATTGTAAGGAAAGTTGATCCGAGACAGATCTTTCATAATTGAGAGCTGAAATGCCTGAGACTTGGGCACTGAAACTTGCTACTCTCTGAACTAGGATAAGCAATAGTCTTTAAAAACATACAGGTCACTTGCAGTTTCAAAAAACAGTGTTAGCCATATGACACATTTGAACATCCCCAACCTGGGCTATGCTGCAGTGATCACAACCAGAAGAGCAGGGTGCTCTAAATGCTTCCTTCTGCACAGTTCTCAGGAATTCAGCTACCCGTATTATCTCTCAATCAGAATAGGAGACCATCAGCATGAAGCAGTAAGTGGAGATCCCAATAGAGCTAAGATGGTTTAATTTCACTGAGATGCTAGTGCATACAGTAAGGATCTATGACATATATCAGTGAGAAAAAGCCCAAGCTATCTTTTTTTAAAAAAAATCAGGATATGAAGTGATAAGGCAGGAAAATAATGTTTCAGAGAGCTACATGAAAGAAAAGCTGGATATGAAGTAATGTGTTTTAAATGGACTACGTCTTGAAGATTTTTTTCTTGAAATTCATTTTTGCAGTTTCGTTATTTATAATGCTTACTGACCAGCTTATCACTGACTAATTTTTTTAAAATCACATTTATCTGAGAAAGGACGTTGCAACCTCATATTGCCCCACCTCACAGAGAAACTTCTGGGAAGAGTCTCAGATGAAGACATTATTTTTCATATTTGAAAAAGAATAGCGAGAACAGACATCACATGCTTCATCAGAAAACTGGAGAACAACCTGCTCTACAAAGCAATTTCCTTTGTTGAATTAGCCTTGGAGCCATGCTAGCATCTCTAGAGACTGAAAAATCAACTGCATGGACCTCCATGGCATCCACCAAGGGAAAGAAAAGTCCTGTTTACCATTATGCATACTGCAGAAAATTACAAAGTTTAAAATCCTTAAAATACTGACACCATATAGAAGCCAACATTCACAAAGATTCATGGGTTTCACTCCAAATAATTCTAGGATCCACTGTGTGATATTTAGTGCTATGAAAATAACGATGAATTTTTAAAATCATGTAGTTAAAAAAAACCAATTTGCAGAGAACTGAGTATACAAATTCAATAGTTTAGATGGTATGCTGGCACTTACCTGGGGGCACGTGCTCATTCATGATGACCAGCGATGCTGGCGTAGGCCTTCTCTTCCTGATCTGTAACATGCAGAAAACAAGAGCAGCCATCAGGGACCACCAACCACCCCACACTCAGAGCAAAGCAAACACCATGTCCTTCTGAGACTGAATCAGATCAAGTTAAAAACAGCAATAACAACAACTACAAACATTCAAAAAACCTCACTGTCTTTCTCACTGCTCTTCTGGACTGACAGCAATTGGGGTCGTGCTGCTTGTGCATGGAAAGCCAAAGCACGGCAGAGAGCCCTCCAAAATACCTCTGTGATTTGCAGACACCTTGAATAAGTTTTTGGATGTGTATTACTGATGTGTTTCTCAAAATACTGACATTTAACTTCACTGCATGAAAATAACCGCAGTAGCTGGTGAGCTTATATATTCAAATACCTACTTGTGGTGTAACTTTTATAAGTAATTATTAAAATAAGTGTTTTGTAAGCATAAACAAGAGTTGATATTGGACATAAGTCTTCTGATGAATCCAGATTTCTAAATCGTGGCCAGAGTCGGTATTATCATTCTTCAACTGAAGAAAAGACTTTCAAAATAATGTTTCCAAAGAGCACTGTACCACAGATATTTACCTACGAATATATGATCCCGAATAAGGATTGTACGCAATTCTTCTTATTCAAAGTTCATTTGTTTTTTTTGTTCCATTAACACTGGCTGAACAACATGATGTTGGACTACTCTCCTGTAATGGACATTCTTACATTGAAAGTTGCTACATTAAAACCTTCAGGCTATATCGACATTCTATTGAATTTAGGAGAGTGATCAGGAGTATTTAAGCTAGAAACGAACCTCACACAAATGCACAATGTCAGTATGTTTGTTCTTTTTCAGTTGCTGAGCCAACATCTGTAGTGAGCTGGGTTCAAATTTTGCTTTCAAAGGGGTAAATGGAAAATTACATCACTGGGCTTAATAGGGTTTTTCCAGATTAGAGCAAATGTAGCTGGCAGCAGCATTTGCTAGTTTAATTTCCTCACATGCCCCTGGCTCTTGGAATTAATCTCTCAACACCAAAAAAAAAAAAAAAAAAGCTTGCCTTTAAACACTGGTCAAAATTTGGGGCGTAGCATTTCAAAAGCCATGGGAATGCAGCAAAATCCAAATCCTAAGATTTTCACAGGGTTCAGAAATATGTCAGATCACATCTTATTTGAATTAACTGCAGGACTTTACCATAAGCACAGACATTTTATAGCTCAGAAACACCTATGGACAAAATGAAGACCTGCAGCAGTTCTCTCCTGCACCCTTCTAGCACTTCTTCATTCAGTGGTCTCTCACACATCATTTTCCAGCAAACAGCTGCCTTTTAAGAGACACAACATCCAAACATTCAAGAAACAAGATACCTGTCCTAGAAGTGCAAATGATTTTATGGCTACTAACACAGAACTGTCAAGGTTATAATATTCCCCTGGTATCAACTAAAAAGAGACTTACCAAAATAGAAGTGAGTGTCAGGAAGGACTTGCACTGAGAGAAATATACTGGGTGACCTAATTATGACTTATCCAGTATTTCTTCTAAGCCTGTGTGTGTCCTTCTTTATGTACATCTGTGCATAGCTGTTCAGAATACCAGGCATCTTTTCCTACACAGACTGCTGTATTGCTATATATATTTTACATCTATCTGTATATGTGATTCAAAACGTAAATAGTACACATATTAGTTTCATGCATACATGATTCTACATCCAGGCACATTCCTACACTTACACGTACATATTTCAAATAAACACATGTGTTTAAAACACATTAACAATGACATAAAGAAGACCGCAATAATCATGTGAAATACAGGAGATAACTGAAGGCATGTCTGTATGCAAAATGTAACTCATTTTCTCATGGTAAAATGAATGGCAAGCTGTCTTCTAACCGGACTGTGCAATATACCTATTAGGTACCTATTATCAACTTCATGTTTTGGTTTACGTAAAAACAATGTTCTTTAGATGACTGAGAATGCATATTCAGGTGGAAGGTATGCATTAGAGAACAAGTCCAGTTACAGAAAATGTACACCAAATGTACACTGGGCAAACCTCCCTGAGGCAAAGAAAGCTTATTCTGCTCGGAGCACATATCCACCTCTCTTTGCATCTATCCAGACATCGCAATGACCTCCAGAGCATTTAGTCTGTAGTCATACTAACATAAGTTAGGAAAGATTTTAGGTCATATTACCTGTTAACACCCTCTCTTGCCTCCATCCACCCCATTCCCTCAAAAATAAACCAAAGAAACTCATCGTCCTTACCTGCTCAGCTGCTTCGGGATCTATTTGGCTCTGAAACAGCGGCACAGCAAACTGGATCTTTTTGGGGCTGTTGGGCTCCATGGCAGTGCTGGCGTGAGGTGGGTGAGAGCAGAGCTTGGAGTGCCTGAGAGCAGAGCCTGGTTTGCGGCTCCCTCGGCACCCTCCCGAGAGCCGCGCCGCGTGCTCCTCAGTAACAGCTGTAATTCCTGACTTAGCAAGTGGATCTGTGTGAGCCGAGCAGTGCCCTTATTCCACATCCACAGAGATGCCGCTGGCTTGGCTATTTTTTCTCCTCTCTCTTCTTCAGTCTTTCAGATCCTCTCAGCACAAAGCTGAAAGGAACAATAAGCTAATTGTGTACCAGTTCACTTCTGCATATGCCAAGCATTCACTCAGAAGCTAATTGAAAATGCAATACTAGCATTGCATGGCCTGGAGCCCTGGGATTTGAAAGAGAGGATCTCTCCACCGTACATTACTAACTGGCTGCTCAGAAGTGCAATGAAAGCTCCCTCTGAGTATTGCTGATGGGCTCTTAATTATTGATGAACACAAATCAGGAAGTTTTCAGTTTTTGGGGGGTGGAGGTAGCAGGAGGGGTGGATGCAGTAATTCCATCTCTGTTACATGGTGCCAGAACCACTCTCCCCTTCTCACATATCACAAAATAGCCCTTGCTCTTCCAAATCCTTTTCTAAACCTTTTCCAGGAAGACTTTTGATGATGACACTACATAGATATCCACACTCTCACAAAGCATATCTGGTGTACAAACTGCAGTTTGCATCTTAGGCTAGCTCAGATTTAGGCTCTGATCTCTTCTGGTAGGATCCATCTCATGTATCTTCAGATACTGAAAAGTTCCATTTTTAAGCCAGCAATCTGTGCTCTCTCCTGCTTGACGTATCGAAACACATTTTACTCTGTTCTAGTTAAGAGGAACACAGAATCTACTGGAGATGACATTTTCCCTCTGTCAACCCCAGGAAAGGTAAAGTCGACTCAGGATAAAATTCAGAGGTCTAAATCCCACTTTGGAGTAAAATCTGTGCTTTCTTTTAAGACAATGAAAATAACATGATTAATCATATTAATAATACTCTGTTGAGCATACTTGATTTTCACTTTTTATTTCATCTTAATTAAAATTCTCTCTTAGAGTCTCTCAAAAGTGAGCTCTTAGAGCTCACAACCACTACAAGACAGTAAGGACAGCTGATCTCCTGCAGCAAAATTGTGCTTCGTGCCAAAACAGAAAACAGAAAATGCTGTAGACAGGTCAAAGGTCTATGTTGCAAGCATAGCTCTAAGCCCACAGCCAAAGAGCTTCGGGTCAATCTCCTGATATCCATTACCAGCAGTTGGAAAAAGATAGAAAATGCAGTGCAGAAGGAAAGTCCGATTGGTACGGCACATCACAGGATGTGCTTCACCTGGGACATGACTGCCTGCAGAGAGCAAGTGAATTTTTGTTAGGTTTTTGGGAGACCTGTGAACTCTCTCAATAGATCTCCAACCAGCCGCAATGAAGAACAAACAGGTGAGTCACACAGAGAAGAAAAACAACCTGAGCCTGCCCCTGACAGGCTGCAGTAAGCAAACAGAGAAGCAGCAGAATTCAGAGCTGAGGCTGAACATCACCAAAACTAAACAGAATTTGAAAATGCACTTTTGGTTTTGGCCACTGAAAGTGTTAAGGATTTCCACAGTTCATCACAGGTTTATTCTAGAATTGCTGAGTATTTCCCCATCCGTGCCAGTGTGGGAGGTGGGGGAAGGAGCTGGGATCCTGTGCATGAACAATGTGCAAGCTGTATGCAACAGAATAAATCAGAGAAATCAAGGCTTTGATTTATGCAAATGAAAACCATTAAGACATTGTTGGAATAGCGAGATATTTCTGAACAGAGGCAAATACACAAGTAAGCTAGTTTATGAAGAATTAAGTCTAACCCAAGAGGTGAGAATGCACTAAAAGGTGACAACCTGACACACTCAAAAATCAAATATAATGCACAGTAAATTTCCCCTTCTCATCCAAATCAGAACTCCTTTGTAATAAAATGCCTTCCAATTGATGGGCAGTAGCTGGAAAATTGCCAGTGATTAACTGACAACTTGCCTGATGCTCTATAGTGCTTGGCAAAAGCCATTTCTGAGATCCAGGAGCTTACAGCAGATGTTCAGAGGGCAGAACACAATCACAGAGCTCTTACCAAAAATAACAGCCTTTATATGCTGCCGTATTACTTTTCTCACAATATATCCTTGAATGTATTTAATTAAAGTTGAAATCCTAAAGAATTGTCCTTTTTGCAAGACCAAATAAAAGAGAATGTAATGAATTTCCACTGATGCTGTCTTCCCAGATTTTGTCCCCAGGCTACAACCATTTCATTTGCCCACATACCCCTACTCAGAGCGGTCTGCCTGAATGAATACAGCTGTACAGCTGGAACTGAAGTGGAGAAGACAGTCTTTCTTTACAGAGTTCTGTAGCAGGTAACATCCACGAGTTATCTGTTGGGTAGAACATATTCATCTGATAGGATGGAAACTATTTGGTGATTAGAGACTAGACTGAACAGCTCAGGGAGTGCGCCACTTTTTTTTTTTTTTTTTTTGCTGACACTTTTGCCATTAGACTTCTTGTGATAGTTTATGTGCATTAACAGAATTGTAGAACCACAGAACAGTCTTGGTTGGAGGGGATTTCCGCATATACCTGTTCCCAGCTGGTACTTGAGGAAGGACCTGAGATCAGGTTATCCTGGGCTCTCTCGGCTAATTTTGCAATATTTATAGTGTTACGGCAAAACGTTCAGTTCTGTTTACCAGAACAAAAAAAAAAAAAAAAAAAAGCACAAAACAGTAACACTCAGTATTTCATAAGATTAAGCCTTCTTAAGCCTTCACTGCTCCTACACAGACCAATCACAATTTGTTCCATAGACTGCCAAGATAAACAATAAGTGACAGAAGGCAAATGCAGCAGTTCTGCAGCTAAGAGCTGATGGTGGAGGAAGAGAAACACAGGCAGCTTTCACCAAGGAAAAGAGTTGGGGAAGTTTTTCAGGATGGTCTAATTGTCCGAGTCCCTCACGAGCAGACATGCCACTAATTTCAACGACAGCTTCAAACCCAGGTGATTCTTTGCCTTAAATACACCTACTGTAGATGTCTCTGAAACTCGGTGTATTAAATGACGCTACAATGACAGTGCAATTGTACTATTACATCACAAAGACAATTTCTTATGTTAATGATAAAATCAGATTAAAAATAAACCACCATTCAGACTGTGAAAAGAATGTTGTAATGTTAAATGACTGAAAGGCTGACAGAGGTGTATTCCAGCTCTTGACTGCAGGATGCTCCTGTGTAAAGAAATCATATCCCAAAGCTGTTGCTAGCACTAGCGTGTGAGAAACAAGCTCAATAGCTGTATGAAGAAACAAACCAACAAACATACTCCTTGGCAGGCTCAGGGGAGAGCCAGACAGCAAGGGCAGGACAGAGGGACGGGGCCTTAAAAGAGTGCCAGGTTTGGCAGGGAGAGGCCTACGGTACACATGGAGGTGCCAGCCTCAGCCGCTCTTTTCACTGCACTGCTTGGGAGCTGGCTGCGCAGACAGCCTCACTACACCAATGAAAGTATTTTCAGAATAGTAGAAGAGGCATATTTTAGAGAGCAGTCAGATATACCATTTCAGGATTACCGCGTCAGCTCACTCTTACACCTAATTACAGCATGGTCTCCAGGCAAAATGTGCTTGCATTTTCTATAGACTGCATCACAGTCTGGGGAAGAGCTGAAATGCATTTAAGTGCTGCCAAATCCTTTTAGCTCATCTTCTGTTTTTAGTGCACTCTCCACAATGTTTTTAATTCCTTCATGATTCAGCTAAAACTATCATGGAAAATAAAAAATAACTGTCCATAATCTTTCCTTTCTGTATCATTCACTAGGTCCTGTTATGAATCACTACGTTTTAACATACCCCGCCTTCATGACAAGCTATCAAAGCACTCACAGCTCCTGTCTATTTTCCCTACTGTGTAAGGAGAGACCTTCACAGCCAAGGGCTCAGGCTGCTGGGAGGGAAACTTGGTGGGCTCTGTCCCACACACTATACAATTTTGGCTGTGTTGGCAATCTGCCTCAGCTTCTCAGCTGTGATCAAGGACTACCACAGCACCGGCCTGGAGCGGAGCAAGACCTGGAGCTGCCTCTGAAGTCAACCCGCTAAAATCAGACGCAAGTCTTCCAATAATAAACACTAGCATACTGAAAAGGGCTCTGAAATTTCCCTTTCAAACATTTAAATGCAGGTGTTGCTGCCAGAGTTGCTCCCACTCATCAACTGGAAACTGATATTCATATGCAGAAAATGCAAATGTATGAGATCACATCTACCTTGTGAGCAGCAAGTGATGCTGCAGGCAGGTCAGGATGAAGAACAAAAAGAGCTATTGGCCTACAAACAGCTTAATGCGGATTTCCCATTGCCGTTACTCATCCATCAAACACCAGGCTTTGGTCAACACTAATGGCATACATGAGTTCATGTAAGTAAAAAACACAGTTAATTTTGTTCATATTTTCTCTCTACTTGAGATAATCACTCCTTAGCAGTGCGACTGTAATCATTATCAGTTTAAAGCTACCTTGAGGAGGTAAAAACTGATGCCTTCCACTAGGGCTCACTACTCTCCCAACTATCAAGTAATGTACAAATATTTACTGGTAAGTACTGCTGTTCATTGAATCAGCACATCCCAAGCACAGGAAACAGGCTGAATTAATGGTACGGACATAACCTGTTTAGAAAGTCTGAAGATCTATATCGAATACAGACTGTAGTTCAATAGTGCAGAGACTAACATTCTGGTAATGGGTTTACAGAGGAATTTCAGGAGGAAGTCATGTCAGAGTTCACTTCCTTATCAAGGAGAAAGTAAACTTAACATTTTTCAATAAACAGAACTACTGCGGACAGCTTGCATAGATGTTACAACAAAATTACATTAGCTGCTTTCCATATTAAGTCTGATGCAAAAATTTACTAACATTGAACTAAACAACTGAGATATAAAACTGAGTTTCTACCATAATATTTTTAAACAAAAGTTAAAATATAGATGACAGGGAAGCTGAACAGGAAACGAGCTCTTACAGCTTCAGAGCCCGGGTTAGAAAACTCAGTGTACAAACACAGGCTGCTGTAATGGCAACAGAAAGTTATCAGCTGAGCTATAAAATCTCACTGAGTATGACAAATTCACAACATATTTTTAAAATTCTGATTTTTGAGTTTGATATACTTAATATTTTGGTTCTTTCTCGCCTTCTCCACCTCAGAGGACATGTTAGATGTAGAGAAGTCACAGTGACCCTTGGAGGTGATGTCTGCAGCACCCACATGGCAGCACCTGCATCACCCAGGGACGTCCAGCTGGGACAAATCCCAGGAGCTGGGGAACCATCACGTGTGACGCATCATGAGCAGGAGGAACAGAGCAACTCCATGAATAGGGACAAGCTAGGAATCAAAGATGAATGTCAATGATGCCTTTTCCAATGGGGTGCGGCCCCACAGGGCCTGAAATAGCAGCAGAGCCAGAAGGCATCGAGTGGAATTATTAAGGGCTTGGCTCACATAACAATCATTTCTCCATACAAGTTGAGCTTAAACTGTGGAGCTCATCACCACAGGATGCTGCAGACACCAAAACTACACATGCACCAGAAAAAGCAATTAGTGGAAAAGAAATCCATCAGGGATACCACCGCTGGCCAGGAAATCCAGAGCCACTGACTGCTAATAGCAGGAAGGGCAGAAACACTCCTCACACCTCCTCAGGCTCAGTTCTTCCCAAACTTTTGATGTTGGTCACTGTGGGAGTGAAGACATGAACAGGCCAGACTTTGAGTTTCATTTGCTACGGTTGCTCCTATTTTGTAAACTGTGATTGGACTCCAAACTTCTCATGAGCCTGTGCTGCTAACATTTCTTTCCATTGCTTATGTCAGTGTGAAAACATGCCTACGTATAAAATTTCCTGCAACACCTCCAATAATAACAATACTTAATTAAGTACATCTTCAAAAAATACTTCTAAAATTAATTGCAGCCTAAGCTTCATTTGATCTGTGAACAGGACATTAACACGGAACATCATCCTTCAACACAACTTCTCTTGCCTTAATAATTTTAAAAGAAGATCTAAAACTAAAGCCAAACACAGAAAAGTGAAATTTCTGCAGTTGCTTTCTTTAAAAGTTGACTCCTGAACTCCCTAATGAGTTGTAGCAAATAATTAATTAAAGATAGAGAAAAAAAGAGATTCTATGTAATTATATAAATACTTCCAAATATTCACAAAAAACTATACTGTGCAAGTCGGTATCTGTAGCACAGTGGGCTGAATGGCCACTCACCTGCTCAGACCATTCTTGCTTTCTGCCATGATGTCTTCTCATTGCTATAGTTTAATCACTTAACCATTGTCCAGGCTTTCCTGTTTTACACTGCTTTAAAAAAAGAGAGAGAGAAGGGATGTTTCTGTATATAGTAGTCCCAAGTCTGTACCTAGAACTGAAAGATATACAACTTATTTGGAAGTAGCAATGTATTTTTTTTTTTTTTTTTTTTTTTTTTGAAGAAAGAAAATAAGGTATTGATCTCATCGTTACAATTTCTCTTCTGACAATTCCGACCACTTTTATTCTATAGCATGAATATAAAGAATTACTATCACATCTACACTCACACTGAAATATCAAAGTAAACAAGCACCATGCAAAAATGATCTGTTTCTTGTTTTCCTGAAAACCAAATGACATTATTTTGACACTGTCATGTTAATTCAGAAAAAAAGTGTTGTAATGGACCAAAGCCAGCAGTTATTTCACATCATCATCCACTTTTTATCAGTTTGAGTTTTGTTCTCTATTGAAGAAGCTCCACCAAAGGGAAACTTACCCAAAGTTTAGGTACAATGTTTGGCACTGCAAGCTGTGTCTTGAATTACTCATTTCTGACTGGGGCTCCTGTTTCTTCTCTCTCATCAGTATCTTCCTTTGGCCAATTTCATTGAAATTGATTCATCCATGAAAGAGATGTACCAAAATGTTCTAACACATGCACAATAAATTACAGAAAAACACTGACACAGATTATAGGCAAAATAAATATTTTATTGGTTTAATATACATGTTTTTGTTGTGGTTTTTTTTTGTTGCTGTTGTTTGTTTTTTAAAGAAATCAGCCCTTGGGTGTTTTCCTAACACAATTAAAAATCAAACTTTATCATATAATATTGTTACATTTGAAACTATTATTGATTAAAGACCTTGACACAGTATAAAGAGTTAGTTGCTGGAAGTGGCAAAGGAATGAAGACATTCCTAGCACAGCACAATGGGATATTACATATCCACTAAATGTCCATCTGACCACATAAAACCTCCAACAACTTCCAATCTTTTCCACTGGAACAAACACATGTTCACTAGGCTAACTGAAAATAGAATCTTAGAGGGACAGGGAAGGAAACAAATCTTTTTCCATTTTCCCCAAAATACAAGCAAGGTCACTCATCCATTACAAGTTGCACATCCTAATTGCTTTCAGAATATCAGTATTTTTTATTGCATTTTGTTAATACAAAGCAGAAGAGAACTTCTTGGATTGACTGAGAGCAGTCAACACAAAGACAAAAAAGCAATGCTTAAAATAAGGCACCTTTCTACAAGATGGGCAAACAGTAAGGAAGCAAATAAAATTAGTTTAAAAAAAAAAAAAAAAAAAAAAAAAAAAAAAACCCAGTTGTCTTTTACATAAAGATAAGGCTTTCAGTGTCAGAACTTTAAGTAGTTTTAAGTAACCTCATGTCGTTCAACCACTCTGCTAATAGTAACCGCTCCAAGAATTAACAGCAATTTTTACAACAGGAAATTTTCCTTCTTTTGAAGTGGCACTAAGTAACAGCAGTGGAAACAATTATTGGTTGTTTCAAGCTCTCAAAGTGTATCAGTTATTGCACAATAAATACCTCATAGAGGTCAGTGTTTGTTTTTTTTTTTTTTATTGTTGGTGGTTTTCTGTGATTTTTTTTTAAGATAAGCTGAATGTGAGCATGTTATTTATAAATTGGTTAAGCCTGAAAATTTTCAAGTTTCGTGATACATCGCTATAAGAAATTAGCAACATAAAAATTTACAACAGGGAAATACAAATAAATACACAACCTCTCAGAGAGCCACAGTTTCATTGATGCTTTATGGAAAGTAATAAATGAGTTAAAGTGTCTAAGTCTTTATACGTGAACTCAAGGAAAGGCACACAGGCACACATCACAGAACCCAGCGTTGAACACAGTAGCCTATTTCAGCAGCTTTAACATCTCCTGAAGCAAAACCAACTTGACACTTCACCAGTGTATGCTGCCCAAAGCAGAATTCCACAGCCAACCTTACAGAAAAGAAAAGCAAGATAAATATCTAAATTAGATTAATATCTAAATTAGATTTTTGCTTGCTATGCTTGAGTATGCATTTTGATCATGTCTGTGGCAGGCAAATAACAAATCTTCTCACATGATGTATTCACAAGTGAATCATAAGTAATGGCTTGGTTTGGAAGGGACCTCAAGGATCACCAAATTTCCAACCCACTGCCAGAGGCAGGGCCACCAACTGGCAGGATCTGACACTAGACCAGCTAGGCACTAGGTCTGACACAACCACTAGACACTGCCCAGGGCTCCATCCAACCTAGTTTTGAACACCTCCAGGGATGGAGCATCCACCGCCTCTCTGGGCAGCTTGCGCCAGCACCTCACCATTCTCTCTATATAGAACTTCCCCCAGCATCTAATCTAAACCTTTCCTCCTTGAGCTCAAAGTCATCATGGAGGACACAAAAAACAACGACAACAAAAATACTAGACCACTACATGAATGCTGATAGTAGATCAAACTACAAACCAAATTTTCTAAAGCTGTCCAGGATTATCAATATCTCTGTTATTTAATAAACTTCAGCACTGAGCACATCTATTTGAGAGGGAAAATAGAAAAAAGCAAGACTTAAGTTCACAGTGATATTTCACAAGGTAAGAAAAAAGGAATTCAATGAATTACTGAATGGTTCTAGCAAATTCACAGATTACCTGTAGTACCCATCTCACAGCTGGGTATCTTGCTTTGCAGTTGTGGATCTGCTTTGCGGCGATACAGCTGCCAACAATCCACTTACTATTTCTCGTCTTATTTCACCAACAATAGATTCCTTGATCTGA